CATTTCTAGTCTTGATATCTACGGTTCCTTTCCCCATCACTTGGAGAGTTGAATTGTTGCCAAGAGAAACCGTAGTATGAAAATTTTCATCTAGAGTTGAGAAGAATTCCTTACAACCTGTCATATGATTGCTGCATCCAGAGTCTACGATCCATACACCTTGATCTACAACCTTCATAGCATGGAATGACATTAATAATATTTCTTCTTCTCTTCTCTCCACAAAATTGGATTGATCTCTTTTCTCCTTTTGGAGCCTGGTATAGCATTCATTTTTGTAATGTCCAAGGCGTCCACATCTGTAACAGTCCATCTTAGACTTGTCAAAGTGTCTCTTGCCTTTGTTGTCATAATCGTTTCTGACTAGATCTGCTGACCTGCCAATATCTCCACTTCTTTCTCGACTACCTCTCCCACGACCTCTGCCTCTTCTTTGCCCTCTACCTCTAGAGCTTGAAGTTTCACTTGGTGTGGATATCTTTAAGGCTGTCATCTCCTCTATTGCACTTGTACGATTGAGTCTCTGCTCATGTACTAACAGGGAGCTTTGGAGTTCATCTATTTGCATCTCTTCGACATTGTTTGCTTCTTCGATAGAACATACAATGTAATCGAACTTTGGAGTTAGTGATCGCAAAATCTTTTCTANNTACGACCGCAACCTCCGTGATTGAACCACCATGCATCCTCATTTTACTTGCAAGACTTATAACCTTGCCAATATAATCATTCACCGTTTCTCCCTTTTGCATTTGGAGAATTTCAAAGTCTCTTCTGGCGGCTTGTAGTTGAGCACGTTTTACTCTCGTTGAGCCTTGATACTTCCTCCTCATAGAATCCCAAATTTCCTTGGATGTCTTCTTCTGAAGCATTGTTTCCAAGATAGTCCTATCAATGGACTGAAATAAATAATTCTTGACCTTCAGATCCTTCAACTTCGATGCTGCCAACAGTTGTTGTTGACCAGCTGAGAGTACCTCGCCTTCATTTGGCTCTTCATAACCCGTCTCCACCATATCAAAGAACTCCTTTGATCTGAGAAAATTTTCCATCAACATCGCCCAATGATCATAGTGACCATCAAACCTCGGGATGGTGGGATGAACGTAGCTCTCAACTTGTTTTTCTGCTGCCATTTTTTCTACTGCAAGATTGCTCTGATACCAGTTGTTGGTGACAACAGAAAACTGAAGTGAGATCGAGAGGAGGAGTGATTTGAATGATGGGGAGGGTGGTTCTTTTATAGGGGGATTCCCGGAGTTGGTTGAGATTTTTGTGGATGAAATTGAATTCACCTCCTCCTTCTATTCCGTAGTAACTAATTGAAACTCTATTATTAGCTTCAACAGTGATATGTTATGATGATATGATATGTTTAAGGCATGTTCGGGTTATGTTATGATATGATATATGTGCAACAAGAATGATATATGATAGGATTGACATGCAAAATGACGAATTGACATGAAATACAACCCTAATGCACGCATGGAAGATATGATAAAAGAACATGACAAAAATGATATGATATGAAGGAAGACGCTAGTGGGGTTGGTAGTTATGATAATAAAAATGGAAAAATGTTAGGATCTCATGCATTGGGGATACCCCTTTTCTTTCACGATAGTATGGACGCGTATACTACGAGACAGGGATGGTAGCATTATGTTTACCATAATGCTACCATGATGGTTGCTATTTCAATAGGTGTTCGACATTAACAGCTACTAGAGAATACTCGTCATTGATATGATATGATATGAAGGAAGACGCTAGCGGGGTTGTAGTATATGATAATGAAAATGGAAAAATGTTAGGATCTCATGCATTGGGGATACCCCTTTTCTTTCACGGTAGTATGGACGCGTATACTACGAGACAGGGATGGTAGCATTATGTTTACCATAATGCTACCATGATGGTTGCTATTTCAATAGGTGTTCGACATTAACAGCTACTAGAGAATACTCGTCCGACCAGAAAGGGGCCCATGAGGTGTGCGAACTGGCTGGTGGGTTCAATACTCGCACGTGTGGACTATGTGTAGAAAAATTAAGTACACATCCAATTGCTCCTTTAGGATAGCCGCTATGATAGGTCCCACTCATACAATTGTATGTGTTTGCATTTAACCCCAATAGAGGCGGTCACCTACTAAGTATTTCTTAAAATGCCCAAGACACGTGCTACTCTTATTTTTCAAGTAAAGGCAAGGCATCTTTGTACGGTTGACGTCGACGTCACAATTTGAGACCATGTCACATACATAAGGTAATCGTATTTATTTGCTTAGACTTATGTTAGGATAAAGATGTTTTTAATTTTAATTTTAATTTTAAGGTAATTTCATTTAGTATTTCAATATGTCGTTTTAATGATGTTTTCAAATACGTAAATCCATGACAGTATTTTAAGATGAAGTTTATGTTTTATGATAAAGTTTATTCGCTTACTTCCGCACAAAATGATTACATTGTGATGACGGTAGTGACTCTAAGTAAGCAGAAATCGATGATCGTAACATAAACTTCCTCATAATAATTTAAACTGTCTAAGCCTAATTATGTATAAATATTCTAAACTTGACTAAAAAATTTAAACTACCTAAAAGGTAGTCTTACTAACCTTAAAAGCTTTCGAAAAATTGAAACTAGGAGGAAAGGGTTCAAGCGTATCAGACCCAAGTGGGATCAACCAAAATGTCAACCATAAGCGGTCAAAAAGTGTATTCTTTGACTAGATTCGAATTCGAACCGTTCAAGTGAGATGATAAACTGGAGTGGGATCAACCAAAATATCAGCCATGAGCGGTCAAAAAGTGTATTCTCCGACTGGATTAGAATTCGAACCGTTTAAGTGAGATGATAGACCCAAGTGAGATCAACCAAAATGTCAACCATGAGCGGTCAAAATTAAGTGAGAGACCTTCCTTTTACCGTGGAGGTGAACCCCTCCACTTCCTTTTATAGTTGGTTTAGTATATTACGATTATTCTTGAAAACTAAGTTCCTAATAATTCATTTAGACGAGTAGATTACTTAATAAATTTTTAAACTTGCAATATCACCAAGTGCCTTGACGCTCTCCTAACCGTACCCAAATTTGTTGAACCAAAACATCTTCCCCTCAAAATTTTAAACTTGTTTACGCCGATAGGAGGATTAAAATCTCTATTGTTTTTCTATCTTTTAATTTCATTCCAAGTATTAATATTAGAAGCATAGGCGGTGATCTTATCATAGGCGGTGATCTTATTTGCTAAAATCACCACATTTAAATTACAGTGAAAGTTATTTAATACAAGATATTTGACTATAATAAAAAGGTAAATATGATATATATAACAAGCCGTAATGAAAGGCAAATATCTAGATATTTGTCTTTAATAAATGGTCAAATATGATACCTATGGTAAATCATACTGAATAGCTAAATATCCCCGATTATACAAGATATTTGCTTATAATAAATGGTTGAATATGACACCTACGTTAAATTATAATTCGAGGCTAAATATCTTTGACAGACAGAAATTAAAAAAACTAACCAAACATTATATGGAGTAAACTATATACTAAATCTAATATTAACTTGTTTGTAAGATATATAAACTTTGGAAAATAAAAATAATGTGTATAATGTCGAATGTCATACCTGTCCCCATACGATTCGTGAGAGTTAGTCAACTTGAAAAATGATTAAAACTTTGCATTCAGACCTCTCATGTTCCAAGCTATCTTTGCTTATTTCATGCCCTTTAGAGACTTATATTTAAATAAATGTTTTGGTTGTAAGAAAATACACAACTACATTAAATTAAAGCCATCTCTTTTGCTTCAATTTTGAGCCTTTTTGCATTGCAAACCCCTAACCTTTGCTTAATCTAGCAGCATACCTTAATTTCCTCATGCCAGCTCCTTCATGGCGACACTATATTTCTTAAAATCCCTGATTTACCCCTTTGACTTTTGAACCTACATCACATTGATTAATTAAAATTATGTAAGATACAAGCTTTGTGAGCTATTGACCTAGAATTCAACAACACTCTTTGCCCTTTCCTTTTACACCATCTTTCTCGGATTAGTCCTACTATATACATCAAACCTCCCCGCCCCTACCTTCCTACCCTTCTCCCTCTCTGAAAAAAATCCAATTTCAAAGATCTGAATCGACCTGCACGCGCTCCTCTCTCTACAACTTCCACGGACGAAGCCATGGAAGTTAAGAAAGTAATGCTCGTAATAGCTATAACCATGGCTCTATCCATCACTATCACCCTGAAGACCTTTGAAAAGTCAAAAGAGACAACAACGCCGGACGTCATCGAGGGTTCGACGACGACATTGTTGCCATCGAGAAGCTTGAGTCGTTTTCTAGCTGAGGAGGTGAAGAACCCTAGAGCGGCGAGCCATTGCCACAAGAACAAGAAGATGTGCGAGAAAATGCATGGGAAAGGGTGGGAATGTTGCAACAACAAGTGCGTGGATGTGATGCATGACAAGCACAATTGCGGTGGATGCAAGAAGAAATGTAAGTACACGGGGGAGTGTTGTCGAGGGCAGTGCGTTGATGTGGCGTATGACAAGCGGCATTGCGGGCAATGCAACAACCGCTGCAAGCCGGGGAAGTTTTGTGTATACGGCATGTGTGAGTATGCATGATATTCAATTCTTCTATTATCCATTATTTCAATGGATCATCTAATCATCTTGAACTTTCTTGTTTCAAAAAAAGAATTTGAAAAAAATTTGAAATACAATAAAAAAAGAGTCACATAAATTATTGTGGATCTGTTAAAAACAATTGGTAGAATTGATTGTTTTTGTTATTAGGAGAGGATTTATTTGTAACTCATACTCCTAAGTATATATACAATTTTTTTCTCATTTGACTATGTTACTGTAATTTATCTGTTTAAAGTTACATAAATTTATGGTTCTCGTGAGATTGTTAGTGGCTGTTGTTAGACGAACACGACTCTCCACAATGGTATAATATTGTCTAATTCCATTGGTACGAAGCTTTTTGGGGAAATTCAAAACAAAGTCACGAGAGCTTATGCTCAAAGTGGACAATATCATATCATTGTGGAGAGTTATGTTCGTCTAACATGGTATCAGAGTCATCTTCTAAACTTAGTCGATGTGGGACTTTTATCATCCAACACCTGCCACTACCTCACACTTAAATGCCGACATACCCTTTACCTTAAGCCTGACAAATCTCGTGTTACTTGTCCTACCGCTTTCATTAGTTGGAAAAAAAAAACCCGTATGCTAGTTTTGTCGAAGAGGATCCTAATAGAGAGAATAGTAAGATAACGAGCTAGAGCCCGCCAAGTGGGCAGTGTCCCACTTTTTTTTACTACCCAAAGCTTCGATACATTTTGACAACAGCTGCCACTACCTCACACTTAAATGCCGACATACCCTTTACCTCAAGCCTGACAAATCTCATTTCACTTGTCCTACCACTTTCATTAGTTGAAAAAAAAAAAACCCGTATGCTAGTTTTGTCGAAGAGGGCCCTAATAGAGAGAATAGTAAGATAACGAGCCAGAGCCACCCAAGCAGGCAACATCCCACTTTTTTTTTTTTTTTTTTTTTTTTTTTTACCCAAAGCTTCCATACATTTTGAAGTCAAATTTGCAGTTTTACACGGTTATATTTTTGGGATCCTAATGAATTTTTTAAAATTTTAAAATATTTTCTTTTCATCATTTATCTTTTACCAAAGTTTTTATCTTGAAATCAACACCAAGAACATATATTATATACTTTTAAGTTCATTCTTTATGTTTGGATCTCTACTCAACCCATTACTTTAATTATTAAATATGGATTTATAGAAGTTTTAGAGATCCAAATAATAGAGCTCATGAAGTAAGATTGTTTTTAATAATTTTGTACCCAAAAATAGAAAAAGTAAAAGGAAAGGAAACTCTTTCACAATAAATTGTGTCATTAATTATTTCTATTTTTAAATTGAATTTATTTCCTATTATTTTTTTACATTTTAATTTCTAAAATAATAATACAAAATTAATTTAGCGGCTAGGAGGAGTTAATAAATGAGGAGTACATAAACGAACTCAGATCACATCTATATAAGAGCGATCCTCAAAGTATTATAGTTAAAAAAAAAAGTAAAATTATTGAAAGTTCCAAGTTGCACATTTTTTCTTGGTGGTTCAATTATAGAAACTTCATAATTAAACGTGCTTTATTTGGAACAATTTTAGATCTGTGGGGATAGGTTTTATTCTTAGAAGTGAGAAGTATGTAACGTTACCATGTCACAGAGCATGCAGAGGAATGTCGGAATCATCAAGTGTCAAATCTAAATTCTGAATCTTGATCCAAATCTTAGACATGAGTTGTTACAAAATGTTTGAAATATCATATTAACGATGAAAAATAAATTATTACGACAAGGAATCTAACTACGATGGAACTTAGTAAAACATCATATTAACGATGAAAAATAAATTATCGTGAGCATGGAGGATCGAATCGTTGAATTTTAAAATGATAATTAATATCTTATTTACTGAACTATGCTCAAATTAACAAAACAACAATTTGAACATAATTCAAATATTTCACATTAGATCTTTCTAAGTTTATTGTATCGTATTTATAATTGAAGTAATAGGCAATAAGTAGCTAATTTTTTAATTAACATGTAAGGAAGAACCATTAATTCATCCATTCATAGGTTCAAATTGTACTAAAATGGTAAGCCTAATTTGAATGAGAAGCAAAAGCCAAAGTCCAAAGGCGTCCATATTCTGTTTACACCAAAGAAAGAGTTGCTTTAAGAAAAAAAATAAATGTTAAAACGTACACTAAAAGCAACATACACACATAAATGCGTTTATTAGCTAAGTTCTCCATTGAAATTTGCACCAAATCACATGCATTTCCCCTTAAAATATGCTCCTTTTCACATGTATTTTACCTTAATATAAGGTGAAGCAAAAAGCAATGCCCCGTTGCTCATAATTTATGTCCCAATGTTTCATTATTAATCTCTCATCTCCAAAACAAAATTAGTTAATAAGCCTATTTACTCTTTATTATTAAATTGACTAATCGTCTTATCGAGCCTTATGTGAGTTATAGAGAGATCGTAAAGGTCCATTTTTTTTATTTTTATGATTTCATCATATTTCATCATGGATCAACTCAAATCACTATTGGTGTTCAAAGCCAAGAGTTATTGGACATGAGTCTACCGGCAAGTCCTCGGATTTGGATTTGAAATTTAGGAAATTTTTATGGATTTTATGGGTTTTTTTGTGTGGTTGATTTATGGATTTGTAATTGAATAAGTGGTCCAAGGATTTGAATCACCGTTTTACACCCGTTCCTTTTGTGGTAAAACACCTAGAGGCCACCAAAGAAGCCGCACTATTGTAACCACTAGTTAAAAAATAAAAATAAAATAAAATAAAAAAATTGGTGAAGAAGAGGGAGAGAGGAAAATCAAGAGAGAGACTATTTAGAAATTTGGTGGAGAAGGAGATCGGCAAGGATTGAGAAGCCGTTGAAAACAAAGGATCCCCGTTTCTAAAGTGAGAATGTTTGCTTAAGCCACCTAGGTGTAAAAGTTATCTTATTTATAATCAAATAAATTACAAGAATATGAAAAGAGTAATAAATAGAAATAACAATAAATGGAAAGATAGATACCTATGATCAGAAGGAAAATATCTAGATATTTGCCTTATAATAAAATATCAAATATGATATATATGGTAAACTATAATTTAGTGCTACATATTCTTAACATCCCATCGTAAGCGAACGTGAAGCTTGAATATGAAAAATTCAAAGAGAGGTTGAGAAACACTTTTCATGAAGATGTCAACAACTTGCTTCAAAGGAGGCGCAGAGAAACACTTTCTTGGCTATCGAAAACTGTTGGGAATGAAAGCCCATTCCCTCGTGCTCTGGAACTTCTTTACATCGGTTGAAGAAAAAAGGTTCAATCTTGTGAAACTATAGCGTAGGCGAAACGACAATGTCAGAAAAAGCTATCTTCTATCTCGAGCAAGAAAAGGTATGCAGAGGGATCGTCGCTCACAGCGACGATGCTACCTTGGCTCCGGTGAGAACATGTCTAACCCTAAGAAGTAGAAGGGGAAACCTAGAGCAAGGGACAAAGACAATATTGAAGCCGGAAGAGTCGCCACATTGGGCGAAGGAGCCAATTTTGGCGAGAAGGGCGGCGGCAACTTGGTTGGCGAAGAGGCTAGTGCGACGCCCAGATTCCAAAGGTAATCTCTGCAGAAGGTCGATGGGCTTGTTGAGATTCCATATATATATATTTATGAGAAAGTCGTTCAGGATAATGAGGTTAGGGTCTTTGTGAAGGATGAAGGGAAGATTGGGAAGAGAATGAGAAAGGCTATGTTGGCTAAGGGGAAACCGATTGAGTTGGACAAGGTGAGTTTGTATGTACAGAGTATGGCGAAAGGTGATTTGAAGGTCAAAAGGGTGGAGCCGAAAAGTAATCAATTGGCTCCGCTTGCGACAGTCATGGAGACTGCCCTTGTGGCGTCAAAGCCAGCAGGGGTGGTGGAAAAGAAGATGAGTAGGGGATTCAGAAGCCATTGAAAATAAGGGATCGAGGTTGTTAAATCGAAAGAGCTCTGATACTATGAGAATGTTTGTTTAAGCCACCCCACCTAAATGGTGTAAAATTATCTTATTTATAATCAAATAAATTAGAAGAATATGAAAAAAAAAGTAATAAATGGAAAGATACATATAATAGAAAGAAAATATCTAGATATTTGTCTTATAATAAAATATCAAATATAATATATATGGTAAACTATAATTTAGTACTAAATATTCTTAACATAAGGCAAAAGGGTTATGATACCATGACATTATTTGCTACTATGAGAATATTTGCTAAAACCACCCCGTGTAAAGAAGGAAGAGGGGGAGAGGAAAACCAAGAGAGAGAGAAACTATTCGAAGTTTTCCGGTGAACTTAGTCTGAGAAGGAAACGCGTGAGGATAACTCAAAGGACGACAATGAGAGGGAGAACATGACAGTGACACTAGATACGTCATGTTTAGCCATAGTTCTCAACGACGAACGCTTATTCACAACATAGTAGTCGTGGGTTTCGAAACCAAACTGGAGGAAACAAATCTACATCACAGACAAAGCCACGATTTCGAAATACCCAAAGGATGAGTAAACCAACTGAAATGAACAGGGCGGTGTCAGTTTTGATTAAAAAATGACATCGGAACGGCACCAAGCCTTATAATAAAATATCAAATATGATATATATGGTAAACTATAATTTAGTACTAAATATCCTTAACATAACGCAAAAGGGTTATGATACCATGACATTATTTGCTACTATGAGAATATTTGCTAAAACCACCCCGTGTAAAGAAGGGAGAGAGAGAGAGGAAAACCAAGAGAGAGAGAAACTATTCGAAGTTTTCTGGTGAACTTAATCTGACGAGAAACGCGTGAGGATAATTAAAGGACGAAAATGAGAGGGAGAACACGACAGTGACACCAGATACGTCATGTTTAGCCATAGTTCTCATCGTCGGACGCTTATTCACAACATATTAGTTGTGGGTTTCGAAACCAAACTGGAGGAAACAAATCTACATCACAGACAAAGCCATGATTTCGAAATACCCAAAGGATGAGTAAATCAACTGAAATGAAGAGGGTGGTGTCAGCTTTGATAAAAAAATGGCATCGGAACGGCGCC